GCAATAATAAAAAGTATGATTTTTTCATGAACATAAAGTTTTTCTTTATTTACAGATATTGATTAGAAAAATATAAAATTCTTGTGCAAACTACATCGTATAAAAAAGACAAAGTTTCAAATTGACTTTTTTACAAAATTTGATTGTTTATTTTTTAGCATGACAGTCGCTGATTTTTATGGTAGTGTTTAAAATTATATTATTATTATACAAATGGCTAACAACTTATTAAATTTATAATATAAGTTATTTTATGCTACAATAAATTTTATGTTATGGTAAAGCAGATTTTCAGTTTATAAATGTAAATATAAATATTACATAATTAAAAAGTTATAAATTATAAATAATAATAGAATCAGTAAAAAAAAAAAGGCCGTTGCTACTTGAAGCGCAATGCGCTCTAACCAGCCATATGCTGCTCGGAGCGCATTACTTTGTACGCATGCGCTAAATCTTGTTGATGTTTTGTACGATTTTGATGTGATTTGCTTTTATTTTGCGATAATTTTTCTTTTCGTTCAAAATAATGTCGCTAAAAGTTCATGATACTTTCTTATCCTGGGATGAATTTTTTCAAGCAGTTGAAATACACTGTAATAAAACATTCCAACCCATGGTTAAACATGGTTGCAAGCTAACGGTAACAGCTAATGCTAAGATCAAGCTCGACCAAAGACCTTATCCTGAAATGTTTAAATACGTGTACTATAATTTAATTTGCACACATGGTGGATTCAATTCAAGCACAGGAATAGGGAAAAGAAATTCAGGGTATATTTTACTTACATAAATGCTTGCAATCTTAACTATAACATACCTATATTGTAAATATATTTTATCAATGAACAAATACTTTACAATGTTCTTGTTAAAAACAGGGTGGCCACTGGTCATAGATTCATGGAAATGTCATTGATTTTTATTTGGTCATGGAATTCCTAAATTTCCATTGAAATGTATGAAAAATTTATGGAACTTTTTAAAATTATCTTTATTTTTTTCTACTTGTGATATTTTTAGGATATTTGCAAAGAAAAGTACTAGTATGTCTAGTCTAAGTCTTTTTTAAAAAGATAATTTTGCAATGTTAGCTATAGATTATTATTTTATTGTAAACAGGTCATGTCAACCTTTTTAAATTTTAGTATTTATTAAAATATCATTTTAAAAAATAAAAGCACACTTTTAAATTTTGTTTGAGTTTGTATCAATCAATCAAATATGGTCAGGTCAGGTCACCTGCTACTAGTAACAACTCATATTCTAGTATAGTTTCAGTTTAAGTAACATGGGAATTGGAGCAGTAATAAGTTATGAGTTAAGCAAGAAACATCTTAGAAAGGCAGAAGAAACTCTGAAAGAAAATGTACTGGTTTAAGTGAGTTGTTTAAAGTTAAGTTTACCGATAGTGAAATTGACCATGTGGCAAATGTTATGTTGCATGGCAAGTACTGAATATTTTAAAAAATTTTTATAAAAAGTGATTTTTAAAAAATGTTTATAAAAAGTCGTGGAAAAGTAATGAAAAAAGTCATGGAAAAATCATGGAGTTTCATTTTTAAATTTGAAAATGATCAAAGTTGCCACCCTGTAAAACTATAATATATTCTTTATATACTTTTATATATATATATATATATGTGTGTGTGTGTGTGTGTGTGTGTGTGTGTGTGTGTGTGTGTGTGTGTGTGTGTGTGTGTGTGTGTGTGTGTGTGTGTGTGTGTGTAAAACATATTCAAGACTTTATGTACACTTATAAATATGCATTATTATCTGTTTTAAAAATACAAAAAAACTGTTATATTAGTTACTTTTCATAAATATTTAACTTTTTTTTTAGATCAAAAACATATAAAATTAAAAAGTTCAAGAGCATTTGAGCATTTGAACAAACTTTTTTAGTTGTTGTCATTTTAGATCAGCAAAAAATAACTGTCCAGCTAAAATTTATGCTGCTTTAACAAAAGATAGAACAAAAATAATTATCAAACAAATGATAGAAACGCACAATCATGTTATTAGTAAAAATACTTATCTAATATTGGTAAAATATTTAAAATTTGAAATGAATGTTATTTTATCATTTTTTATATATTTAGTTTTGTAAATCTGTTATTAAAGTTAAGCTTTTCACGGTGTACTGTTTAATTTACAAAAAACTTTAATTTAAAGTTTTTTAAAATCACTTAAATAGAATGAATAAATAAAATGTTGTGCAATGAAAGACTGCTGTGAAAGAAAAGTATGCTGTGAAAAGCTTTTTTTAAAAAACCTTAAAGTTACATATTTAAATGAATTATGAAAAAGTAATTTTTAGTATCATACAACCTGATTAAATAAATTATTTTGCTTTACAGATCAAGATCTTTACAAACACTATGTCAAAAATAGAAAGCTATCAAATGAAGAGAAGGCCAAAGTTAAAGAACTGAGTCGTCTTGGTGTTACTACTAAAGTAATTGCTGATGAAATGAGAAAGAGTACAGGAAAATCCATAGTAAATAAGGACATTTGGAACATTAAGGATAAAATTCGTCAAAAAGTAAAAACTATTATTTCATTGCATAAATTGTTATTTTCATAAGTAAATAAATGTATGTTTATATATATATATATATATATATATATATATATATATATATATATATATATATATATATATATATATATATATATATATATATATATATATATATATATATATATATATGTATATGTAAAATTCTTTTTCAATAAAGTAAATATCTTTCATCGTAGGAAAAAATATGCCCATCTTCAAGAAATGTTTTAAATGTTGCAGAACTGCTAGTGAAAGTAGTTGAGAAAAGAAAAGAGAGAGTGATCTTGGACTGGTATCACAATATGGTATGTCAGATGATAATACTCTTCAGTATTTATTTGTTCAAACTAGTGTAATGAGATCCACATTTAGTAAGTTTCCTGAGCACATTTGTATTGATACCACCTACTGTCTCAACAACAGTGATATGCCACTAGTATCATTTTTATGCATGGATGGGAATGGATTTTCCCACGTAATTGCTTTTGCTTTAATTGCTAATGAGTCAGAAGTGATGTATAGTCAAATTTTTAAAACCTTTAAAGCTTATAATGCTTCTTGGAATTCCATTAAAACATTTATGATAGACAAAGATATGAGTGAGTTAACAACACTGGAGCAAAATTTTCCTAATAGTTTTTGTGAAATTTGTTTGTTTCATGTTAAAAAAGCTTTCAAGAAAAAGGTTGCAGACTTATCATGTACCACTGATGTTAAAAGAAAAATTTCTGTATATCTGTTAAAAAAGCTTGCAATATATATGTTAAAAAAGCTTTCAAGAAAAAGGTTGCAGACTTATCATGTACCACTGATGTTAAAAGAAAAATTTCTGTATATCTAGATACACTTTCTGTATACAGAAAAATTTCTGTATATCTAGATACACTTTGTCATTCAAGAGATCAGTCAATATATGAAAAACAGAAACAGTTGCTTTTGTCTCTTGATGAGTGCTTTGCAGAATACTTTTTTAATAATTGGGATCATATGTGTGATCGTTGGGTTTTTTATAAACGAGCAACACATTTAAACTTTGGCGACACCACTAATAATAGAATCGAATCTTATCATCAGAAATTGAAAAGTGTAATAGCTCACCCAATAGATTTACATCAGTGTCTTGAAAAAATATTTTTTTTAAATGACATCATTTTAGAGGAGTGCAAATTTAAGCAATTTAAAAGTTTAACGAAAAAATACTTTTCTGAGTTATCCTACCTTCACAACATAATTACACCATATGCTATAAAACATGTATCGCTTGAGCTTGTAAAAAGTACTCATTATGATTTAATTTTGCCATCTAACAATACTCACAATGTGATTGTCAGTGACAACACATATATAGTGAGTGAAAAGTTGTTTAATTGTAAATTTTTTATGAATATGTGTTTGCCCTGTCGTCATCTTATTGCAGTTTCCCAATATTTGGGTAATGCAAAGTTAAGTTTAGATTGGTTTATTCCAAGATGGCATGTTGTGAATAATTATTTTGAAGGCTCACCTATTCCATATGAAAATGCCAAAGTAGAGAATTCTAATTGGAGAACTCCAGCACTAGACAAAATTCAGAAATATAAACTTATCAAGGTTTGCTCTGATAAGCTAGTAAACAAATTGGTTGAATTAGGTACAGAAACATTCCAGTATTATCTAAAGCAGTTAGATAAATTTGAAGAGATGGTTAGTTATGGAAAAAGATTTGAAATTTTCTTTGAAGATCAACAAGTATCAGATAGTAAGACAACCTCTATCTCATCTGAAAACTTTGTAGTGGCTCCTGGTAGTTCCAGTAGTTCAGTAAACAATGAACCTATGGAATCTTCTAATAAAAATACAATTATGAATGAATATCAACATATTGATTTCTTTGTCAAAAATAATGAAAGTCCATTTATTGATGACAATGTAAAAGATGAAGTCACTGGAGTACAGGATGATCATATTGATTTTACGACTGAAAGTATGTATCAACAAGAACAGATAAATGAATCTTTAGATGTCCAAAGGTTAAAACTTATTAAACCACCACTTAAAGTTGCTAAAAAAGGCAGGCCTAGAGGTTCTGGCCAAACAGCATTAGGGTTAACTAAAAAAACAGTAAAAAGGAAATGCTGCTTCTGCAAAAAGTGTCATCCTGATAAGAATTTAGGGAAAGGATTCAAAACAAAATGGTTGAAATGCACCAAATGTGTCAGATATTTTCATGATGTGTGCTTAGGAGATAAGCATGATTTACATTTATGTTTATTTTGCATTAGTTAAATAGAGAATAGTTGATAATAACAATGCTTTTTCTTCGTGTTTTTTTATAACATTTTTCAATAAAGTTTCATTAAAGTTTAGAAGTAAAACCCTTATATAAAATCCTCATTTTCATGTGAAGAGTTTATTTTCAAGATGTGGTACAAGTAAAAAGTAAGAAATAACTAATGATAACAAGTAACTTTAAATACAAACAACTTAAAATAAAATTTATTATTGTAAATTTGCTAAAAAATAATAAATTGCAAATTGCATAAAAATTATTTTGTAAAGTAAACAATATTTAAAGTGGTACATTAAAACAAAGTTGCTCATACCGCATTTTTAAAATAAACTGATTATGTAGTCAAGATTAGTTTGAACTTCAAAATCTTCCAATTGTAAATGTTTACTTTAAATTTCCCATTATTTAAGAAATTGTTTAATGTAGTATTATCTAAACCACACAATTGTGGAACTATAAACTTTAAATTTAAAGTTTTGCTTATTTTATTTTAGATATCGATAACAACATGTGGTTGCCATATAATTTGAATATGATATTTAAGATTAGTACTGACAAACCATTATGGTATGCCAGCATTGATCTAAAATATTTATGAACAAGACTTTGGCATTTCAAACAGATTTTGCAATCTACATAAATGTAAGCAAATATCTTTCATTAATTTACTTAAAATAATTTTATCTTGTTTATGTTTAAAAAAATGATCAGATAGTTGTTTAATGTGACTCTAAAAGGTAAAAATATAAGAAGCTTTTAATAAGATTTTTTTTATATTAAAAAGTGATTAATAGTGATAAGCGTACCTGCTAGGATGTGTTGTGAAAGACTTTAGTTTTTAAACTTTGGTTTTATTCACTAATGTGCAATTAAATACTTACAATACATCAAAGTGTTATAGGGACATTCAGCTATCTATTATCGATATTTTTAGTTTAATGTAAATGAATATATCAAGTTTATCACAAATAATTTACTCAAGGTTCTGTTCTTGGTCATCTATTGTTTTTAATTTACATTAATGATCTAAATAACTCTGTTTACTTCTTGTTGGTTCATCTATTTGCAGATGATACCAATCTCTTGCATGTCAACAAATCATACTATTCTCTATGTAAAAATATAAACTCAGATCTTAAAGGTATAGTTCATTGGTTAAATGCCAACCTAATATGTCTTAACACCAAAAAGACTAAACTAATTTTTTATCATCTCTTAAAAAAAATGTAACAACAAAAAAAAAAACTGTAACAATGTTGAAATTAAAATCAAAAAATAAATAATAAACAACTATATCCCACGAGAGTTATTAAATATCTTGGTTTGTTAATTGATTGCAATCTTTCGTGGAACTTCCATATTGATGAGCTGCGCAAAAAACTTTATTGTGCATATGGTATGCTTAGTTATTGTTATCAAACTTGGGGTCAAACTGGCAACTATCATGTTAAAAAATTAATATCATCTCAATGCCAATCCAATTATTTGATGTGTGGAAGGAACCTTTTTTAATATAATTTCAAAAAATATTACCAAATGTAATATTTCCTGAAATTGTATCATTGATAATCAAATTTGGTCTGTCAAGACATGGCTCATTATCTTGTTTTTATCTTTGAAAAATCTTTTTGTTATTATTATTTTCAAAAATAGTGAATTTATGTTTATTTCAAAACAAAAAATAAAAAAAAAAATTTACTCTAATAATTAAGTTAGTTGAACCCATTTTTGGTTATGGCTTGTGATACTTAATAATATAAAAAATATTATTAATACACAAGTTTTTCTCTTATATAGTTAATACAGATAGTTTATAGTAATAAATAGTAAATAACCTAGATTAACTACTTTACCTTAACAAAAACAAGAACACATATAAAATTGCATGTAGATATCTATCATGTAATCTAGAGACAACTATAAACGAAAAAAGTTACCTTATAAGTTACCATAGTTTATTTATGCACATGAACTAGAATTTTTTTCTCAATAAATTGCTCAAAAAACAATTACTTTTAAAGTAATTCATTCATGATTATTTTAGATAGATGCTGGCAAGCCATAATGGATTGCTTAGAACTTATCTAAAACATTTCAATCAAATAAACGCTGCATTAAACTGATGAAATTAATGACTCCCCAAATAAATGCTGTTGTTGTATTTTGATGGAAATAGAATGTTTTAATATAAAACATTTACTTTAAAAATTGCACAAAATGTTTCTTTAGTAAATAATTTTCGATTTCGATTCAACTGCCAACTAACTTTATTTAATTTAACCAGCTTTATTGTGAAATATAAATCGCACTCTTATTATAAAATACATGCGCATGCGTGTACAATATTGCGCTCTGAGCAGCTTATGGCTACATAAAGCGCATTGCGCTCTACTAAGACACTTCGAAAAAAAAATCTTTTTCTTTTCATTTCAAACTCAGATATGTAATGTAGAAATTTTTTTCTTGGTGTAAAATGCGGTAGTGGTGTAGTGGTAGAGCGCTCACTTCATAAACGAGTGGTTCCGAGTTCGATCCCCACCACGTCCCTGGTAGTACCGTGCTCAACTCGTTTCTCCGCGCAGCAGCCTTGTTCGTCAAGGTTCGTGTTTCGGAGTTATAGAGTTGAGAGAGGGTTATAGCCACAAAATAAGTAGCCTCCTCGTCTGTAGTGGCCTTCTCGGCCTTGAGGAGGTGAAGTAAAATTAAAGTAAAATTTAAAAAAAAAAAAAATACCGTGTAACACCACTATAACATTAATAACAATATAATCAAATTTTCTATCATATTATTCATAAGTTGTTAATGAATAGATGAATAGCTAGTGTGAAAACCCAAAGAAAATGCTTGTCTAAAGAACTTTTTCAAAAAAGAAATATGTAAATTTGAAGGGTGCAATGAACGATGCTTGTTATGCATATATAAGTTATGCATATGCTTTTAACGAGTATAAAAATTTGTAACCAATAAGCAATTTAAATAAATAACGAATAAACAGATAGCTTGTGCAAAAACTAAGAAGCTCTCACGAAAAGCTGTTTAGAGGAGCAGTTTACATGCCACGCCATTTTTCCACTTTCCCATTCATTTACTCTAGTGAAGGCCTGTATATTTATTATTTATAACTACATTATATTATGTCTGTTTCAAGGCATTATTGTACAACAACATAGTGTCATACAAACAACGACATAGTGTCATACAAGCAACAACATAGTGTCATACAAACAACAACATAGTGTCATACAAGCAACAACATAGTGTCATACAAAAAACAACATAGTGTCATACAAGCAACAACATAGTGTCATACAAACAACAACATAGTGTCATACAAACAACAACATAGTGTCATACAAACAACAACATAGTGTCATACAAACAACAACATAGTGTCATACAAACAACAACATAGTGTCATACAAACAACAACATAGTGTCATACAAACAACAACATAGTGTCATACAAACAACAACATAGTGTCATATAAACAACAACATAGTGTCATACAAACAACAACATAGTGTCATACAAAATATATTTAGGTATCACAAGAAGTTTTGAAAAGTATTCCAATAATTCTCACAAACTAATTAAAAAAAAAAAAAAAAACTAAAAAAGAACAAAAAAAAACAAATAATCCACAAGAATGAAACTATATGAAGCAAATGAACAACCCACCAAATAATATAAGAGAACCACAAAAAAATATGCGTGCAATCTTATTAGACATTTAAAAACTTAAGATCAAGTCTTTAAAGTCAATAAAAAAATTCATGAAACTTACAAGTGCATCTGATTAGAAACAAATCATGCACTTGATTGCTCACTTAATTATTGCAAAGAAAAAAAAGGTCTCATGCTGAAGTAATAAAATTAAGGTAATTTGAAAGTTCTAAAAAAAAACATTTCATAATTTTTCTGTTAATTAAGAATAATTATGAATATTCTTAAAGTATTACTTTTCTCTTTTCTTCTGTCATCTGTAAGATTTTTGTATGAGGAGCAGGTATTTTTTCTGAATGTTTCAAAGTTTGATAATGAACTGATTTTTTTTCCGCTGGGGCAGTATTCTAAAATAAAAAAATTTTGGAACTTTTTATAATTCAATTTTAAGAAGTCTGAAGGAAACAGCTAAACTAACATAAAACACAACATTACACACAACTAACATAAAACACAACAGCAATCTAACCATCTCTATTCTGTTAAAAAATAATTGTTACCCGTTGTATATGTTGTGGAACAGAATCTGGTATTGTAGTTGGTGGCTCTTCATATTCTAAAAAATAATTATAATAAAGTGCTTTGTTTATGGTATGAATAAATGCAGCACACTAAGCAATAAATGCATAAGCATCTCTTAATTAAGTAGTTCTGAAATATTCATTTGTCAACAATCTTACATATTTTTTACTACTATAAGTTTGATGCTAAATGCAATCATCAGATATAATTATGTTTTTTTCTCATTTGAAAATAATAATTCTGCACAAAAGAAAATGAGTTAGAAAAATCTTTTGGTTTGTGGTTGTCCAGCTAAAATTTGTTCTCATGGTGACATTTGGATATTAGTTCATTTTTTTTGTTTAATAATTCTTTAGGATTTTTAAAAAATAAAATTAATATTTTTTTGTATGAGCATAATAGGCATTTTTTAGTTATGTTGTTGTAGGCGGGGGGGTTATGTTGTTGTAGGCGGGGGGGTTATGTTGTTGTAGGCGGGGGGGCGTTTTTATGATAAACCATTTTAAATTGAGTGTTGTTTTTGATTTATTTTGTGTATCCCATAGATATTTTAAAAGCATGGTTGCATTTGCAAGTTTTTTGTTTTTGAAAGATTGCTTGTGATTTGCCCATCTAGTTTTCCACACTCCATCTGTGAACCAATGTATGTTTTGTCGGGTGTGTTTGGGAAACTAGTTATACGTTACACCTAGTCAAAAAGATAGAAAACTTTATTAAATGAATGCACTGGAAAACATTTTTTTATAACAACAAAAATAACAATGCGACGACAACAACTGAAACCTTCGGATTTAAAACAAACAAAACAATCCCAATATCCTAATATTTACAGACAAAACTAGCAATATTTATAAACTACCCCCAAAGACCACGCTAAATTACTGAAAGAAAATATCACAAAATCATATAAAAAAGCACCATTAAACTTGAAAATGCCATAAACCTTGAAGCAAAAAGCATAGCAAAAAAAATAAATCTAAAATAATTGCCAAATCAGAAGCGTTCATCACACTGAAAGACCATAAAATCAATTTTCAAAACATAAAACCCTGCTGCCTAATAAATCCAGTAAAGAACAAACGTGGAATTGTAAGCAAAACCTATTTAGATAAGATCAATAAACACATAAAAAGTACATTAAAATTAAACCATTGAAAAAATACTGCTGAAGTCATCAAATGGTTAAAAAATATTAAAAAAAAGAAACACTGCACTTTTATCCAACTCAACATCACTGAATTTTACCCCTCCGTCACCATTTTTACCCCTCTATCACACCCACTATTCTGAAAAATGCTCTAATGTTTGTAAAACAACTTATAAAAATTAGCAAAGAAGAAATCAGAACAATCTTGGCCATTGCAGAAAATCTTTGTTATTTTTCAACAACAAAACTTGAAAAAAAAAGTCAACTAAAAATTTCTTCGACATCACAATGGGTTGCTAAGATGGAGCCAAGGTTTGCAACCTGGTCGATCTATATATATTAAATTCATTATCAGAAACTGTTACCAACAGCGATATGGGCCTTTACCGGGACAACGAACTGATAATAATGCATAAAAAATCTGCCACACAGATAGATAGAATCTGAAAAAATATTAAAAAATTTAAAAAAAAATCGACTTCCGAATAGAAATTATGACAAACCTAACAATTGCTAACTTCTTAAACATATTGTTAAACCTTGAAAAAGATTCATACCATTCTTTCAAAAAACCAAAACTTTACATCCATACTGAGTCCAACCATCCCCTACAAATTATTAAACAAATTCCGATTGCTATCAACGATAGTGTTATCCAAAAGTTCTTCTGAAAAAAAAATATTTAACTCGGTTAGGGCAGAATACAACCAAGCCCTAAATAGAAATGAGTTCAAAAATTTTAGCCTTAAATACAACCCTAAAATTAATACCAAAGTAACCCCAAATCGTTAAAGAAAAAGAAATATAATCTGCTTTAGCCCACTATACAATAAAAACGCTCTCACAAATATAGGCAAAACTTTCTTACAATTAATTGACAAACACTTTCCAAAACCAAATCCGCTTCATAAACTATTTAACCGTAATACAACAAAAGTCAGCTACAGCTGCTGTACAAGCAACATAGCAAAAATTATAAAGAACCACAACAATAAAATTATTTTCAATGAACACAACGGCCACTTTAGCTTGCAATTGTAAACTAATGGAAATCTACCCTATGAACAGAAATTGCAGAAAAACAAATGTAATTTATAAGTGAATTGCATCATTCCCAAATACACCCGACAAAACATATATTGGTTCAACAGAGGGAGTGTGGAAAACTAGATAGGCGAATCACAAGCAATCTTTCAAAAACAAAAAACTTGTAAACGCAACCATGCTTTCAAAATATATACAGAATGCACAAAATAAATCAAAAACAACACCTAATTTAAAATCAATTATCATAAAAACGCCCCAGTCCTACAACAACATAACCAAAAAATGCCTATTATGCTTATATGAAAAACTATTAATTTTATTTTTTAAAAATCCTAAAAAATTATTAAACAAAAAAAAAAACAAACTAATATCCAAATGTCGCCATGAGAACAAGTTTTTGCTGGACAACCACAAACCAAAAGATTTTCTAACTCATTTTCTTTTGTACGGAATTATTATTTTTATTCATGAGAAAAAAACATAATTATACCTGATGATTGCATTTAGCATGAAACTTATAGTAGTGAAAAACATGTAGTTTTATTTATAAAAAATGTATATAAATCAGCTCTGTTTTAATATAAATAATTTTAATTTACTTTAATTCATCGAGCACTCTCATGAAGATATATGCAAGTACTAATACTAATATATATATATATATATATATATATATATATATATATATATATATATATATATATATATATATATATATATATATATATATATATATATATATATATATATATATATATATATAACCCTTGGAATTAGGAAAAATGAGGTCTGCAATAAATTGCCAACCTCAATCTTTTAGAGGTCGGCAAAAATTATTTGATACAAAGGTCTTACCATATAACATAGAAACAAGGTCAGCAATTGTTTGCTGACCTCAAACACAATCAGGTCAGCAGTTAGGTCGACATTGCCGAATATTGACCCTAATTCCGAGGGTTATATATATATATATATATATATATATATATATATATATATATATATATATATATATATATATATATATATATATATATATATATATATATATATATATATATATATATATATATATATATATATATATGATAATTGTCTGCTTTAAAAAAATTTTAGTACACTTTTATTTCATTTTTTCATTTTTATATTTAAAAGTTACCTTGCAAAAATGACACAAGTTTTTCCATTGCAGAAATCTGTTTTGTCACTTGAGATATTATTTCATTTTTTCCTTTGTTTGGATCGACCAGCAATCCAATGGTATCTCCAATATATTTATTAACATCTTCTGAAATGGAATAAAAACAAATGACAAAAAAAAAATTCATCAAATTGCCCAAAATGGGAAAATAAAATGAACTCAAAACAACTCACCAGGCAACATACGATTTTCTAAAGGCAATGTACTTTTAGTTGATAAATTGTTTTTTATTTTATGCTTACTGTCTTCTTCAAGCTAAATAATAAAAAGCATGTTATTTATTTATTTTTATTATGTTTTATTGTTATTTGTTATGTTTAAATTATGCTATTATTATGTTAAATTAAAAGAAAAAAAGTTTTATATATTAAACAATATTTATAAGAAAAATATAACAGTGTTTTTGAATCTAACTTAAAAAATTGTAACTACCTTAGTTTTGCATGCTTGCATATTATTTATCATAGACATCAGGTGTAAGTTTAACTTCATTTCTCTCTCCTTTTCTTCTGCAATGCGTTGTTCATAATGTTGAAGTGCCTAAAGTTATAACGTTTAAAGTGCCAAAACTAAAGCAATTATTTATTACCATACTTAAAGAGCTAAAGCCATCATGACAATTAATTAACTTACGTTTTGTGATTCACAAGATGTACAATTAATTTTTCTTGGTCCAACAACATCAGGGCAACCTTCAAATGCGAATGTTTCCAGTTCAGATAACAATTTCTTAAAAAACCAAATTTTTTAAAAATTTATTGCATTGTTAATAGACAATAAACAAATAAAAAATATATACTTTAAAGTTTAAAAGTAAAATTAACAAAATCTTAAAATAAAAAGAATTTATATATATATATATATATATATATATATATATATATATATATATATATAATATATATATATATATATATATATATATATATATATATATATATATATATACATACATTAATAAATATATATATATATATATATATATATATATATATATATATATATATATATATATAATGTATATATATATATATATATATATATATATATATATATATATATATATATATATATATATATATATATATATATATATATATATATATTTATTAATGTATGTATATATATATATATATATATATATATATATATATATATATATATATATATATATATATATATATATATATATACACACATACATTAATAAATATATATATATATATATATACATATATATATATGTATATATATATATATATATATATATATATATATATATATATATATATATATATATATATATATATATATATATATATATATATATACAAAAGTTGAAATAAGTGTCGGACATTGGCACTCCCCAGACTGTTTTTGAGACCTGTTTGAGGGGACATCCAACCATTTTTTCAGTAAAAATGAATAATAATTTGTTGCTTGCGCTAATAAAAAAAATTAATTTAATTTAATTAATTTAAAATTAGTTTAATTGCTATTCAAAGAAAGACAATTAAATTAATCAAGAAAGGAAAATTGATATTATATGATGATAGAATAAGTTTTATGAAAATAGAACATTGAAAAAATAAGAGAACAAATTGGCCCAAAAAAAAGTTATTAGTATAGATTCCATTCTCAGTTATGCTATTAAAAAAAGTTCTTTCAAAAACAAGCAACATTAATTTAATCTGGGAGTTACTAAAAAATAAAGAATATTGTTAGCGGTTGACAGTATACTTAAACCAGGCTTTGTTTTAAATAAAAATCATTAAAACGCATTAGCTTAATGTAAATTTCTTAAAAAGAAAAACTCTACTTAATTACTTTACCATAAATTTTGTTGTGAAAGCAGAGATTATTTTAGGTTTTAAATGAATATTTATTAAAAAATAAATATTGTTGTGCTTTCACTTGCCTTACGAAATAAAATTTAAGTTAAAAAAGCTAAAATTAAAGTTTTTGTTTAACTAAACTTTTTAACGCTTTAAAACAAGGAGAAGGCTAGAAGGAAGAACTGTAAATTCAGGAAAACATAAAGATGGAAGAGAATTCTAAAGCACTGATGTGCCAGAAAAGAAACTAGACAACTAAAAATTTTAGAGCATAAAAGAAGATTTACAGTAAAAGGATGTGACTTCGTTAAATTACCAGTCAAGGGAGAATGAGTTTTGGTTGATGAAACTAGAGATGATAGCTAGTTTGAGCAGTGATAATATTATATGACCATGATAATATTTGTAGAAAAGAAATGCAACTTTACCTAATTGATAGAAGTTGACCACATTTATATATTTACTGAAAATGTATATTTTTAAATAAACTCATTTACAAGATGCTTTTAGATCTTGTAAATGAGTTTATTTAAACTCATTTACAAGATCTAAAAGCATATTGTAAATGAGTTTAGTCAACAGCTGAAAAATATCATTAAGTATTAACAGTGCCATGTTGCGTATGGATGGTGTCCCTGTTTGTACTTTTAGTGCGCTTTGTCAAGGCCACATTTAGAGTCTTTTGTTATGGCTTGGGGTTAATTAATAGTAATGAGGCGATTGCTTAGGTTATTGAACTGCGTACCGAGTACTGTCTATGCTTTGAGTCAAGGTCTTTAACAAATTTAAAAATGAATAAAGTAACAAAAACTATTAAATACAAAAAAACATTGTCATCACCAAGTTCTCTAAACCACTAATATTTGTGGTCTTCGAAGTAACTTTTCTTCTGTTGAGTCTTATCTCTTGCAAAGTTTACCAGACCTACTTGCTCTTTGTGAAACAAATTTGAGTTCAGCTGTCTCATTTTGTGATCTTAGTGTTGATGGTTATCTTCCTTTAATTCATAAAGAATTCATTAGTCACATGCTTGGCGTGGGCATTTACATTCGTAAGAACTCACCCATTTGTCAAGAAACTAGGTTTGAATTCACAGAATAATCTTTTGTGTGCTATCGCTTAGCACCAATTCACTCTATCGCCTTTCTCTTTGTTCTATATCGCTCTCCTTCATCTCAAAACTGCACTTTTTTTATTGTTATTTCTGATCAAATTGACCAAGCCCTTTCTCTTTATCCATCAGCCATTATTGTTGTTGTTGGCGATTTTAATGCTCATCACACTGAATGGCTTGGCTCTAGTGTCAGTGACTCTGCAGACATTAAAGCCCACAACTTTTGCCTTTCTCAATCCCTAACTCAAACAGTCAACTTTCCAACTCGTTTTCCAGACAACCCGAATCATTTACCTTCTCTACTCGACTTATGTCTTATTTCTGATCCTAGTCAGTGCCCAGTTTCTCCACATTCACCCTTAGGTGCTTCTGATCACAGTTTGAGCTCTCTAAAACTATTATCTCATTCTTCTTCATCATCAGAGTTCCCCTATCATTGTACCTCTTACAACTACCTTAAAGCTGACTGGGACTATTTCCGTGGTTTTCTTCGTGATAGCCCTTAGTTAGAAATCTTTTGTCTACCTGCTGACAAATGTGCTTCTTACATAACTTCCTGAATTCAGGCTGGCATGGAATCTTTTTTTCCTTCTTGACGATTCCAGGTCAAGCCTCACTCTTCTCCATGATTTTCCTCACATTGTGTTGCTGCAATTTCCAATCAAAACCAATACTTCCATATCTATCAGCAAAATAATTCTCCGGAAAACAGACGACTGTTTATTACTGCTAGAAACCATTGTAAAAAAGTTTTGTCTAACGTCAAAGCCCGCTGTTCTCAGGTCATGAAACCTTGTATTTTATCACAAAAATTAGGCTCTCATAACTTCTGGAGACTTTCTATTAGTATCAATAATATGGGCAAATCTGTAATTCTACCTCTCTTGTATGGTTCAGACTTTGTCATCTCACCTAAAAACAAAGCTGAATTGTTTGCTAAGAACTTTTCATCAATATCATTTCTTGATTCCACTAGTTGCATTTTATCTGATTTAGTCGTCAAACACTTAATCTCTCATCTTGAATCTAATAACTTACTTTCTGATCATCAATATGGATTTCAATCTCAACCAACATCAATATGGATTTCAATCTCAAAAGTTGAAGATAAAAATCTTCAACTTTTGTCAAAAGCAGCCGTGGCGCAGTGGTAGCGCACTTGCCTCAGAAACGTAAGATCCATGGTTCAAACCCCACCTCTGGGCAAGTTTTGCAACATCGGTTGGGAAGGAGGCGTGAACTTCCCATTAAATGCTCTTCCGCGGTGCACTGTGATAAGACCGAAAGGACTTCTTGGGGCACCTTAATCAACTTATTAAAAAAAAAAAAAAAAAATAATAATCTTCTCATTTTACAGCTGATTTGCTAACAGTAATAACCGATAGGTTTCATCGTACATTAGATAAAGGTGGAGTGGTTAAGGCAATCGCTCTTGACATTTCTAAAGCTTTTGATAAAGTTTAGTATGCTGGTCTTCTCCACAAACTTTCTTCTTACGATGATTAAGATTATTGAATCCTTCTTTTCCAATCATAGTATAAATGCTGTCCTCGATGGACAGCTCTCTTCTTCATACTCTGTAACTTCAGGGGTTCCTCAAGGTTCAATCCTTGGCCCTATACTCTTTTTAATTTACATTAACGATCTTCCAGATATACTCACATCTAAGGTGGCATTGTTTGCTGATTATACTACCATTTATTCTTGTCATGATAAGAAGCCAACTATCTCTGATTGTTTGGAGGAGGCATTTGAGCTTGAAAAGGATCTCACTTCTTCTAAAGCATGGGGCTCAGAGTGGCTGGGGAACTTTAATTCAGATAAAACTCAATTTTTTTTCAGCCAATCGTCATCACAATAATTTAGAAACTACAATTATTCCTATATTTATGAACGTTAATGTACTTGATGAGTCATCTACCCTTAATATTTTAGGATTAACTTTTACTTTCGATTTTTCTTGGAAACCATATATCAAATCCGTTGCAAAATTAACATCTGCTAAGGTTGCATCTCTTTATCAAGCTCTACACTTTCTTACTCAAGATTCTATTTTCTATCTCTATAAATTTAAATCCAGCCTTGTATGGAATACTGTTACCATATCTGGGGCGGATCTTCTAATGATGCCGTTTCTTATCTTTTTTCTGTGTTTCTAAATGCTCCAAAAAATCTTATTCCTCAGTTTTTTTTTCATCATCTTGTATTCCTAACTCATATAATTTGCAATCTTTTGAGTCGTCTGTCAATCGTTATCTTGCTCTACAATCTTCATCTTTTCTCTTCCAGTAACTTCCAACTCTAATAGTGTTTGTTGGAAGCCAAGATGTTTAAAAAAAAAAAGAAAAAAAATATGACAACAGTATTCCATACAGGGATGAACAATTTGTAGAGGTTGAGAATGGAATCAGGAGAAATGGTGAGGACAATAAAGCGATGCAACCTTAGCAGACGCTAACACATTAGGTCAGCATCAAACAACAATCCAAGAATATGCCATTTATCAATATAGTAATATCAACAATATTGGGATAATTGTTTGTAGTTAAAAGTTAGAAGCTAGTGTGAGCCCCAGGCTCTTAGAGAATAGAGGTCAAATTTTCAAAAAAAAAGAGATTTTCTGCCTGCTCTAAACAATTGAAAAGTGATGACTTGTTGTTAAGTCAGGAGTATATGTGTCATCAGCAAATAGAGCCATTTTAGATATAAGATTTTCAGGAAGATTAGATAGATGAGAAACAATACAGGACAAAGGATAGAGCCTTGTGGTACCTTAAAAGTTGTTGGAAAAAAAGAGGAGTGTTGGCCTTGGAAGACAACATTGATTCTGTGGTTAAAATGGAATAATTTAATAACTCAAAAACACAGATACTATATGAAGATACACTATATGAAGCAAGCTTATAGATAAGACCAGCATGTCAGACTTTTTTAAAAGCCTTTGATATGTCAAAAGGAAAAGCCCTCGCCTTGCCAACTTAACTTAATGTATGATAAATCCCTTCTGTTATAACAGTTAACAAGTCAGAATGAGAGTTACAAAGTTCATATTGATTGTCAGAGAGCAAGTCATTAGCCTCGAGATAAGATATCAAAAGTTTGTTAACTAAAGATTCAAATAAAGGGCTGATTGGAAAATAGCTAGAGGGGTCCAAGTGTGCATCAAAGTTTTTAAAAGTTGGAACAATTGGTGCTATTTTCCGGCATAGATGCTATTTTCCATAGTTGCTATTTTTAACTCGATTCAGTTAAGCACTTATTAAATAGTTTGAAGGTATCTAAAAGAGTTATGGAGAACACTTTTGTAAGACTAGGAATGTTTTTAATGACAGGAATGTTCTCTATACCACAAGTAGTAGAAGTCTTTAAAAGAGAAAACAATGCACAAAAGACACTAACAGGAACACCATCCATGCACAACACAGCAATGTTAATATTCTGATATATGTTTATATAAAAACAATGACTTTATATATGTGATGTGCAACATGCTTTTCTATCTGCTAAGGAACAGTGGTTACAACCATCGGAATCAGGGTCGGCATTCGGCAATGCTGACCTAGAAGAGTTTGAGTTCGGCAAAAAATTGTCAACCTTGTTTCTATGTTTTATGGTCAAACCTTTGTTTTACATTTTTTCTGCCGACATGATGGCGACCTCACATCGGCAAACTATTGCGGACATTATTTTTCCTAACTCCAAGGTTATATAAATTATATAAAAAGAGTTTATATTGTAAATTGATTCACTGTTAGATAGTAATATAATAACAACAACTAAGGAAAAAAGTAATTTCATTAGTGTCTTAGGGAAATATGATAGATTTTCCAGAGAGCAACAGTCTCCCATCACTCCTCATTATGAACAAAATTAACTATTATTATTATGTATGTTTTTAAAACACCAGTACAGCTGTCAAACACACAATAACCTAAAAATTATTAGCTAATATTGGCGGAAACTAGAAAAATTAGCAGCTGCTATAAATACATAAGATTACTTCAAATGTTCGCAAAATTTTTGCACTAGCTGTGTATATATATATATATATATATATATATATATATATATATATATATATATATATATATATATATATATATAGATAGATCTTCTTGTAAGTGTACGGTCATACGTTTTAAATGACCATCCACTAGGCAACTTTTGACACTATTATGATAATTAGTGTGTTCGAAAATATGCTGAAAAAACCAAATTAAATTGAAAAGAAAATTTTAAAAAATAAACAAACCATAAACTGAAAAGAAAAACAAAATCTTATTATAATAAAAAAATAAAAGATTAACCAGTAAAAACAAAAATTTAAATTAATATATATTTCAGGGGTGAGGAGTTATAAAGTATCAACTCCAACTCCAGTTGTCTAAAATTTTAGAGTCCGACTTCGACTTCCGAACTTCCGAACAAAATTTTTGAAAAATTGTTTGAATTCTTTAAAAAAAAAATTACGTGATAAGTTAAAAATTTTTTTTTTGCAAAATTTATGAAAAGTTCTTTGAGACTTAGTATGAATATAATTTAATATTTTGTACATGCACATGCTATACCAAGAATTTTTACTATTGGAGTCGGAGTCGCAATTTCATTTAGCAACTCTGACTACACTAAAAATGTTGCAACTCTGCAACTTCACTCCACAGCCGTGATATATTTTAAATTTAGAAGCACCTCATAAATAGTTCAAACCTTAAAATTTATTAAATTTAAAGTTTAAAGCAAATAATTTTTCCTATGTCCTAATGTTAATGTAGCACTAAGGATGATTTGATGATGTTATGTTTATGAGGCACAACTAGTTTGGTTAGATGCAGGTTCAAATTATGAGTTACAACTATTAGTTTCGTTAGATGCAGGTTCAAATCCATTTAATGAATTTTTTTTAATGTTTTTTTTTTTTTTTGCTTAGTAGACATTAGAAAATATTAAAATTTCAAATTTTTAGATAATTAAGTTTTGAAGTAAATAAGCTTGGATTAAATAACTTTAAACCATCTTTTCTAAATTCTATACACTTAGTTAAAATAAAGACATATTAATATCATGCTTTTTTTTTTTATTTTTTTTTGCTTTACCTTTCATTTATTTTATCATTTATTAAGAGTTTTTTTTTAGTTTAGTTTGTTTATTTTTAATTTTACATTTGTTTATTTAGCACATTTTTAAAACATGCAACACACACAAATAAATGGATATAAAAATAAAAAAAAGTTAAAAACCTCTTGATCTTCTTTTGGTGCATGGATAATTTGCTTTAATCGAAATTGAACCTGAATAAAGTAGAATACTGGAAATATATATTCATGCATATTTAAGAGAAAAAGAAAAAAATTACTTGAAAATTCTTCTATCAAACATGTTATTACACTTTTATTATCAGAGGTGGAAAAAGAAGAAAAAAATTGTACTTAAGTAAAAGTACTGTTACTTGAGTAAAATTTTACTCAAATACAAGTAAAAGTTACCGGTCGAAAAGTTTACTCAAGTAAAAGTAAAAAGTAGCTTATTAAAAATGTACTCAGAGTAAAAGTTATTGCGTTAATTTTTCAGATAATAAAACTGTTGAATAAAAAAAAGGAATCACATAGTCTATTCTTTTTGGCATAAATTTTTTTTTGCACAGAAATTTTTTTTTATGGTCGTAAAAAGTGAAAAGAAACCAAGCTAAATGAGTTAAAACTCGTTATGAGCGTGATCAACTTTTTTTTTTTTAAACAGTTTAAAAGTGTCATTTTTATTAAAGTGAGAAAAACTCTAAAAAACAAAAAAAATTAAATCATAGAATTTGTGAAATTAAACAATACATAATAAATTTTTTACTCAGTAACGCATATGATTTCAAATTTAGCAAAGTACAATAATTTAGAAAAAAAATACTTAAGTAAAAGTAAAAGTACACATTTAAAAAAATACTTAAAAAGTAGAAATTCACAAAATAACTACTTTTTTTACCTCTGTTTATTATTTGCTTCAATATTCATTATAAATGTAATTTTAAAAATATAATTTAAATTTATTTTAAAAATTAGAAATATTAAGAATTGACGTCATCATTAGAAATGTTAAGAATTGACATCATCATTAGAAGTTAAATAAAGAACTTAATGAAAAGAAATTTATTGAAAACTTTCATTAAAAATGTCTGAAATTCAAGGGTTTTATGGCACCCCTGAAAATTTTTTTTTTTTTATTATTAACGATGTTAATCAATGCTGCTTTACTTTTTTTGTTTCGCTGTCAATTGTTTGTCTAGTATCGAAATATAATTTACTTTTCAGTTTTCATCTTTATTAAAGTATTTTGTTGTTGTTGTTATCGCATTTTTGTAATACATCTTTTTTTTAACACCTTTGCTTCCAACAAGGCTGCCAGCAACCACTATTAGAGTTAAAAGTTACTGGAAGAGAAAAGATGAAGTTTGTAGAGAAAGATAACAATTGACATTTTAAAACAGATTATTAGACTTTGGTCATTTTTAATGGCTATTTTTTCTGTGATGTATGTGATTTTGGTGTATTTCTTTTCTCTCTGTTTATTATACTTTATTAAAGACAGTTGTTGTCATTTATCTTTAAATATTTTTAAATAAATAATAAAATTTTAAATATTTTTCTTCTTTTCTCATTTCTATTGTAGCTAATTTATTTATATTCTTTTTTTTTTTAAGAATTTTCTAAAACTGATAAATAATCACAAGATCAAGTTAAGAAGAAAAAAAGAACACATATATAATAATAATAATAATAATAATAATAATAATAATAATAATAATAATATATATATATATATATATATATATATATATATATATATATATATATATATATATATATATATATATATATATATATATATATATATATATATATATATATATATATATATATATATAGTTCTCGAACATAAGGTTGGCATTCGGCAATGCTGACCTAAAAGTGTTTGAAGGCCAGCAAAAAATTGCAGACCTTATTTCTATGTTTTATGGTAAGACTTTTGTATCATTTTAGACCTTTGTATCATAGACCTTTGTATAATTTTTTTTGCCAACCTGATGCCAAACTCTAATAGATTGAGGTCAGCAAATTATAACCAACCACATTTTTCATAATTCCATGGGTTGTATATAAAAATCTAGTTTCTCTTTATTAACAGGAGGGTTGTAAAAATTTTCAAAATTTAATAAATGAGGGGGAAATTTTGAAAAAAATAGCTAGAGAATACTTATCCTTCTTTCTATGAACAAATTTTTTCAAATCTAAATGGCTTTAGCACATAAAATTAACACAAACTAAAGGTAATCCAGCTTTAGAAACATAACTCATAAAAGAATTCCATTTGTGAATAAAATTCTTTTAAACACAAACATTTTTCCTTTCCTAAAATAAAACAGTTTTCTAGTTTTATGTTTTATATTTCTAGACTTTGATACTTTGAAGTTTTTATAAAATAAATTAGTTTTTTGTTTAACACTTTTGAAGAATAAAAAAAGTTTAATTTTTTAAAATAAAAAAATTACAAAAATAATTTATATTCCCTAAATATTAGGAGACGATATATTTAAATTTTTATATTTAATATATAACTAGCTGATCTGATCCGTAAAATTATGGGTCTTTGTAAGTATATTCCACCCTGACCTTTTCTATACTTTTTCTTTTTATATATATATATATATATATATATATATGTATATATATATATATATATATATATATATATATATATATATATATATATATATATATATATATATATATATATATATATATATATATATATATGTATGTATATATGTATATATATATATATATATATATATATATATATATATATATATATATATATATATATATATATATACATATATATATTTTACAAAAAAATTGCTTTAAGAGCAAAAAAGTTAACATGCGCACTCTTTCAGCATACCTAGAACTTATAAGAGATTTATAGTTAGGTTTGCTTTTCTCCTAAACGCATATCATTGATAACTCAGTGGTTTAGTGCGCTGTCACCAGTGTCATTTTGGGGGATTTAAGACATCCCCTAATAAATTTTGAATTTTTTTTATTCTGGGTGTATTTATAGAATTATTTATAGCAAAATGTTTATAACATTATCGCAGTTTATTGTTATTTTATAATAGCAAAATTATTTTATAATAGTATAGCAGAACTAAGAAGATCTTAGAGCATTATAAACTATAGACTATAAAACGCTAAGGGATCACGCATAAATTAAGCAATGCTAAATTTATTTTTAAAAAAGTAGAAGAGACCATCAGTTATTTAGGATGGCATATGAATCTGCGAGAAAAAATTTTGATCATTTTTGTTTTCATCAATTGTGAAATTTAGCTTTGCGTAATTTATGGACGACCCCTTATTCTAAAGTTTAGATAAAGTATCAACCAAAAAGTATATAAAGCTTAAAAATAATGGAGTATAATACTATTTTGATGGTTATCTAAGTTCTGTCGTGGTTGCGCACTTGGTTTTGAATGTTTAACGAGGGCGTGGTAAAATAGCTGTTAACTCTAAATTTCTTTATTATATCAATATTAAATAACTTAAACTTTTAATTATTTTGAAAAATAATTAGTTTAATGAAATAGTTTAATTTGAATATAAAATTAGAATTTTTAATTTTGTTTTTATAAAAAACATACTTTTTAAACCCCCTTACTGTTTTGAAAAAGTTAAGGTCGCTGCATGGTAAGTTTAATTTTTGTTATTTAAAATGCAAAACAAAACAACTTTACAGTTCTATAGAATTTATATTCTATATAAACATATTGTATACTCATTTTTCTTACGCAAACTCAACTTTTTAAAAAATTTTTTGTTTATTAAAGTGTATAACATCGTTAGATATGTTTGTATATAATCTATGTAAAACATCACAAGTATTTTTAAAAAATTTTAAAAAGTGTCCAGAGCTAACCACTCAATCATGCTAGCGCATATATCATTGAAATTTTAAAACTATATAAAATTTGTTTTAACGGAAATAAATCTGTAGATCAAAAATTATAAGGTTGAAGCAATGCAGTTTTTAAGTAAAAGTCAAATTGTAAAACTTGATATATGTTTAAGTATGTTTTAAACTACATAATTTGAAGTTTATGAACATAGGATATAAGTTTCACTTTTGCTCACGTTTTCTTAAAAAGCAAAGCTGCGACTCATTCTCGTCAATAGCTCGGTTGCAATGGCTGCCAAGGGTTTCATGTCAAACACGCTCCAAGAAACACTACTACTATTAAAACTATTAAGTTCAGCAATAATATATAGAAATTATATATACAACTATACATTATATTTAAATTTAATAGACCATTACAATTAATTTTAATGGTTGGGGAGTGGGAGGTTCAAAAAAAAATGCGAAAAATTAATAAACTTAGGGGACATTTATTCAGCATTTATTCAGCATGTAAGAGTAACATAAATAAAAAATAAATAAATAAAATTATTTCTGTATTAAATGAATATACTTACTATTAAATATTAAGTTAAAAAATTAAAAGCTTTGAAACAAACCTGAGCAAAGTGAGAAGTCAATGCATATAATGAACAATTAAGTTGTTCGCTTTGTTCTTGAAGTTCCAAAAGTTTACCAAAATCTAATCTTAAATGAATAATTGTTATACAAAAAATATATTAAATAAAAAGCTAACTAGCCAGTACAACATCTGTGCAGAGCATAAATATAATAACTTTTAAATTGCAAGAAAAAAGAAGTAAATATACTTAAAAGCTTATTTATAATATTTACCCAGTTGAAGAATAAGAACTAGAGTCTATTGACTCATTACTACAAGCACCTAATGGTGGCACACGCTGGTTTTCAACTTCAATAACTTCATCTTGTTCTTTGCATTTTAAATTATAATGGTTGTCTTGAAATTGAAATGCTTCATCAAACATAAACTGTTGATATGACATTATGTAATGTACTAGATTATATAAGGAATTATTTATCATAATCAAATAGTATTGAAAACAGCTGTTAAAACCAAGGGCATTGTTGGTTAGACATTCCAATATACATATGAGTATATATGAGTTAAACTTAATAATTACAACATTTATATCTTATTTGACTGTATATTACTGGTTTAGTAACTAATCAGCATATTATATCTGTATATAGCATATGCATATACACAATATATATATATATATATATATATATATATATATATATATATATATATATATATATATATATATACAAATAGTATTGCGTACTATAGTAAACAATCTGACACCATACTGAAATAGCCTGTTGTTGGGGGCTTCAATACATACATCGACTGACAAATAGCCTGACTTGCAGTGGAGTGCTGCTACATCAACTGAGGGTTTGAGATGGGGAAGCAATTGTTTCATTCATCATTCTTTGTTTTTTCTTCTTTTTCGAAAAAAACGGTATAGCTTAAGGTAAGCAAAAAAAGTGAGCAAATGCTTGTCAAAACACGCTTTAGTAAGTATATATATATATATATATATATATATATATATATATATATATATATATATATATATATATATATATATATATATATACATATACGAATGCAACATTAGACACACACAGGTGTTGTCATACAGAAATAGGTAGCTGTAAGGGCTTCAGCACATACATCGACTGACTACCTAGGTAGAATATGCAAGGAAGTACGCTATATGTACTGAGGATTTAGGTTGCAGCAACTATTATATATATATATATATATATATATATATATATATATATATATATATATATATATATATATATATATATATATATAATTAGCTAAGTATTATATGTCTTAATAAATTCATAATAAATTAATCATTGTCATATTGAAATAGCAAGTGCTTCAGCACATACATCAATTACTATCGAGGTAAAACATGCCGCTACATAAACAAAGGGTTTGCATTAGGCCTACAATCCTTTTTTCTAATTCTTCTTTATTTTTATTTTTCTGAAAAAAATGTATGGTTTTTTTATGGTAAGTCAGCAAAAAAAGTTGGCAAATGTATATCTATGTATACACGCTATAGAAACTATGCAAAGTAAAATGGAGCACATTTTTTTGAATTTTTGACATTTATTATTGAGCAATCCATTTTTCAAATATTAGAGACTTTGGAAAAAGGATCACTCTAGCTAATTTTTAATACAAGTTTAAAAATTTAACTGAAAATCTCAAATATTTTAAATTTTGTTTTTTATATTTTTGGTATCTTGGATGCTGCATAAAATAATACTTAGATATTGAAAACCCAAAACAGACTTGAAATTTAGTATAAATAAAAAAATGTATAAAATTTATGATATATTAAACAGAGTAGAAGGGTTTGAGTTTTATATCTAAGACTTTAGAATTAGATAAAAGTTCTTAATTACAGACTAAATTTATTATAAATATGTAATTATACTTCATTTCAACATAAGTAAAATGTAATTTTAAAATATTTTAAAATATTTAGTACATTAAGAAAAGAAAAATAAAAACAAAGAAAAACATTAACTTAAAGATTAAACATGAAAAAAAATTATTTAAAAATTTTTTTAGGGGACGTTTTTAAAAATGTTTATCATAAATAGAAAATTATCTGAAAACTTTAGGTAATATCCCATTATTATGCTTTATCTTTTTGTTTTAGCATAACATTTACTGATTTCTACCATCCTATGGTCTATAGCTTTTCCATTTTTAATAATAAAAATAAATATACTACATTTTAAACGGAAAACATAATAACCAAATGAAATATATGTTTTCACTTTTTTAAATCTATTTTTTTTTTTAATTTCTTCTTCACAATTTTTACTCATTTTACCAATTTTAACACTTTTTTTATTTTTTCATACGTCTGTTCAATGTTTTTGTTTTGATCGGATTTTATCGAACTTAATCATCTAATATTACATCCGGTAAAAACTTAAAATTTTTTGTTGATCTTTAGTTCAGAACAAAATTGCTTTGATCATAGACTCTGCTCATTTAAACATTAATAAATATATTTAACAAAATTTTTGTTTATTAAAATCATAATTTTTCTATTTAATTCATAAAACCTCATATAATGTTATATGGTCTCTTTTTCTTTTTATTTATTGAATTAAGTAACGTAAGGTAAATAAATTAGGTATTTTTGTGTATTTATTTAAGAGTATTCTACTATCAAGAGAATTCTAACATCAAGTATCTGCATGGCCGACGACACGGGTTTCGAAGTGGAGGGGCAAATTCGTCAATTTTTAAAAAAAAGCCCTCTATATCTAAAAAAAGAAAGGTCCTTTAGAAAAAAAGTGGATGGACACGTGCCCCCACAGCCCCCCCCCCCCTCCTCGGTATCGTCGGCCCTGATTTGTATGGTACTATACTAAAATTGAGCCAAACAGATACAAAACTTGATTTTAAAACAAATGAGTATGGTTGATACATAATTACCACAAAATTTGCTCTAAGTTTTATTGTTGAAATTGAAATAAAAAAACGATTTTGTTTCAAAATACTTAGGAGTTGTTTTCAACGAGAACATTACATTGAAATCACATATTGATTTTCCTCGAAAATATCTAAAAGTAGCGGAGTCTTATATATAAGCCTCCGTTACTTTTAGATATACAAAGTTATTATTGCTATAGAAATAACAACTTTGTATATGAGCTAATTTGTTGAACAAAGCTAAACAAATTTTGCATTACATTTCGTGCGCCATATCTCTGGAATAAAATGTCATGCATAACTTTAATATATCCAATACTTTTCCAATTTTTATATATAAACTTAAATGTTTTATTCTATCTATTGATGATTTATTAAATACTTTTTATATATCTATTGATGATTTATTAAATACTTTTTATAATTATTACGTATTTATCTTTTTCATTGTGTGACTATTATTGAGTTTTCTTTTTCTTATTATATAGAGATGTCTGTATTTACTTTGCATATATAAATATATACTGTATTTATATGATATTTGCGCTTTTATAGCTTCTTACAATAAGGTCTAACTTTTTTATTATACATAACATTATAGATAGAGCAGCAGCAATGATAGCATCCATAATAGGAGGGTAGAGCAACAAATAACGTAATCTTTTATCCATAGTATACTCAAAGGTTTTCTGCGAAAATCAAATTTTTTTGACAGACTCTTGTTTTTCTATATTCATGAATCAGGAATGCTTTTTTTATTTTGGGCGCGAAAAATAAAGTAAGTGAGCAAATTTGTTGTGAAGGAAGCTAAACTAAAATGAAGCTGAAAGCAACTGAATTGCCTTTCCCCCTAAATTCCAACAGAAGAATAGGTTTTTCTCACTTTCATTGACTGTTAAACGCATTTGATTTTTTGCGCGGGTTTTTTTGATTTTAAAGGCTTATTGAGAATTTTGCCAATAACCTTGTATTTTTGGTGCACGCTTCTTGTAATAGTGTAACGAGGGGCAAAATGAGACACTTAAGCGCTAATATATCTAATACATTTTTAAACATATATCTAATAACAACTTTTGAAAAAATAAATTGATTTTTTTCAATTTTTCTACGATCCTACTTGAAGCCTAAAAAGTATGAGTTGCAAAACTGCAGTAGTTTGGTCACCAGAGATCATTTATTGACAGCACCTATCCTGTCTTATTTTGCCCCGCATACCGGGGCAAAATGAGACAGATTTTTCTTTTAGTAATTTAAATAAATAAAGTTAAAAAAAACATATCTTTAAGAGGATTAGCAAGAAATGCATTTTATAATATATTACAGCTATAATCAAACTGTCACTAGTCACATAAATCACATATTGCTTAACCAGTATTTTGAAACAAACAACAGTCCGAATGAGCCCAGGTTGTGCATTTTGGAAATTGACTCCACTTATATATATATATATATATATATATATATATATATATATATATATATATATATATATATATATATATATCCACTACAAGAACTAATAAAACCATACATACATATATTAAACTTATGTATTTAAAGCACGCATAACATTCATTGTATTTTGTTTATAGGTACTGCAATAACCTATGTTATAATCTACTCACTATATATAATATATACTACTTACTTTATTACATTACAATACAATAAAATTATAAAATACAAACATAGTAATTATAAACATCAGGCAATTATTTGCTTCAATTTGATTAAATATTTATTATATTTAAATATAAAACGTAATTCTATATTGGATAACAACTAAACATTTCAATTAACAAAATAAAAAGTAAGTACAATAAATTATAATATAATAATACAGTATAATAAATTTAAATCTACAGCATGTAAATATTAATATTTGCTTTGGTTGTTGTTTTAATGTAAAAAATTAAATAAACATAATATTAGACATCGGCAAAAAAAAATACAAACAGAATGTCTCGTTTTGCCCGGCATCATGTTGGCATCGAATAGCCTAATTTCCAGACTATTTTATTGAAGAAATAAAATACCAAAGAATGGAAATGAAAGGAAAAGGCCTAAAGATTCTAATTAAAAAAAAACTTTAAATATAAAAAGCTTTTCCACTCAGTGAGATCAAAAAAGGCTAGGAAAAAATATAATAACAACTCTTAAAAATTCGTAATTTTCGCGAAGCCGAGGGATGAAATGACTCCCCTTTTACTCAACTTTTTTATTTCAAAAAATATATTTTTCTTAACACAAAATAGTTTTTGAACACAACTGCACTTTAAAAAATCTTGCAAATAATAATTTGTAGGGCTGGCATTATGTTAAACGCAAACTGTCTCGTATTGCCCCGCTGTCTCATTTTGCCCCGCATTACCCTACATTTATGTTATATGCACTATAAATACTAAAATTATACAAAAATGTAAAAAACTATTTACAAATTTCTATATTTATGAACCAGGAATGCTTTTTTTACTTAATACTTGATTTAAATCTAACAATTTACCATTAAATACCGAAAAAACCAATAACATTCTATTCCATTCCAATCAAAGAAAAGAATCTATACCAACTATATTACCATTTCTAAAAATAGAAAACTAAATTATCGAAAGAACCAAAATTTTTAGAGGTACTTATCAATTAAAATATTTCATGGAAAGCTCACATAAACTTTTTAAATACTAAAATAAGAAACAACACTTGCATGGGTTACAAAGATAGACCGATGTTACCAGAAAAAAAATTTAAACGACTTTATTTCTCATTCATTCAAACCTATTATACGTATGGTAATATAGCATGGACAAGAACCCATAGATCCAGACTAGTGGCACTCTATCGACATCAAAAACATGCCACAAGTTATCTTTATTAAATAGTATTTAATAAAGATAAATTTACTCATGCTGAACCTTTGCTTAAATTTCTTAATGCACTAAACGTTTATTAAATTAACATTTATCAAAATTTGTTTTTCATGCTTAGATATAAACTTGGACTTGTCGCATCACATTTTTCTAAAGAGTTTTTTAAATACAATAAAATAGATATGACACTTGAGGAATAGGACATTTTATTGTACCATATTTAAAAAAAAAAAACTATCACGTTTCTCTATTTCATATCGCGGTCCTTACCTCTGCAACAAACTAATATCCAAAAATACTACAATTACAAAATTAGATAACTCAAATTCTCTGAAAATATTATTGAAAAAATTTGTTCTTAAACATAAACAATTTTACAAATGTATATTAAAACAAATAACTAAAAAATTCCTAAAAAATTATTTTTAAAGCAAATATCTGTCAAAAGAGTATTACAAGCCATGTAATTATATATTCTTGTGTATCAAATACAGTTTTTATCTGTTTTTGATTATCTAATAGCTTTTTATATGTGCCTCTAATGCTACCATGAGACTTTGCTTAACTGAAATTATTTAATAAATTAAGTATGCAAGAATTTCGAAACTAAAAGCGGTTTGTTGATGACAAGACCACATGGTCTTCTGTAAGTTTCCCTTTTTTTATCTTTCATTGTTCTCATTTTGAAGAGACCTTTTTTTGATGTTGTTTTATGTCCTGTTACTTCTCTAGCTATAAAATCCTCATATAAAAAATCTTATTGCTTGTCATAAATCTTGTGTACTTACAAACAGGTATAGCCCATCCTGTAACATCAACATTGTGTTCTAGTTTAAATTTTTTTCCCGTAACTATCGCCTCAGTATCAATTTCTCTAAGAGATTTTAAGTTGGAAGAACAAACAAGCAAATCAGCATAATGTAAAAGAGTTGAATCCATTGATGTATGTTTATTATGGGTGCTGTAGGCATTTTCATTCTGATGGCTTCGGAGGTCAACTTCAGTATCAAAAAGCAAAAGACATGACGACATATTACCGTAGACATCACTGTTAAGATATCTAGCTAAGGTTCTATTTCTGTTAAAACAGAAACGAATTTTCAGCTAAAGTAATACCATAGCATCATTCCATTGCCGTTATATGAAATTGACAGATTAAAATGGATTAAACTAATTTTCGTTATCTTGCCATCTTTAACTGATTTTAACTTGTCAATTTCAAACACTGACACTTTTGAATATTTTGAACCTCCAAAAAACAAACCTCCTTTCTCAATATTCTGGACTGACATACAGCTATTCCAAGCGTTGATATTTATTAATTAAAATAAACATACTTTACTTTTGAGCAGTCATGGCACAGTAGTTAGACTTCTGTCTCAGAGCTCAGAGGTCCGAGGTTTGACGCTGGCTGTTAAATGGTCTTCCGCTCTGCTCTGTTATAAGATTGTAAGGACTTTTGGGAACACCTTAATAACTAGAATATATATATATATATATATATATATATATATATATATATATATATATATATATATATATATATATATATATATATATATATATATATATATATATATATATATATATATATATATATATGTATATATATTTATACTGTGGCGGGATAGCTCAGTTGGTTGGAGTGTTAAACAAAAAGTTACAATCCGGACTGTTGAACGATTTGAGTTCAAATATAGAAATAAATATAGTCTTAACTTTACAACGAGCAAGTAAATTAGTTTTTTTTATAAAATACCCTCCATCATCTACACAATTTTACTTTGCACCACTTTTATTGTAGCATTAATCAATAAATTTCGAAAATTTTTAACTTTATTTTTACATTTACTTCTTTTCCTCAATATTCCCTTCAAAATTGCTCAGTAAGATTTGATAACTCGTGCTCTGGACAGTTTGATGGATTAGCATCCTTTGGAACAAATTGATTCTTTTTTCCTTAATCGCTGAATTACTTTTTTGGAATAGAGGATCAATGTCAGATCTGACCAAAATAAGGTTGATTATTTGTGCTTTTTAATTAAAGGAAGAAGTCGTTTGTTTTTTCTTTTAATTTGAGGAAGAAGTTGTTTTTTCAAGCATTCCCTCGCATACAGATCTGGTGTTAAAGATTGATTTTTTATGAAAGGAAAGCTTTTAAAACCTTAACTGCAAATTGCCTACCATACAATATAGGGGGGGGGGGGGTTAAGTGTCTGTTTTTTGTCGACTAAACCCAACAATTTTTTTTGCTCATTAGTTAGTGGGCAAAATAAAATAATAATAAAAAAAAGGTCCTTGTTTTCCGGGATTTGCCGACAGCCAACTATAAATCTAATTTTGTCGACTGCAATGTTCAATTTGCCGACTAATAAAATTCATAAGGGGGCTAGACGCCTCCTACGCCCCCTCTCGGGACGGCCCTGCTCATTCATATAAAAAACCACTCTTAAGCAGTTATTGACTAATTAACAAGTTTTTTATTAAGGCAGTTGCAGTTAATTTTATCACAAGCCTATTTAATGCAGTTGCAAATTATAACAAATTATAACAGTTGCACTATGAATTAATTGAACCTGTCATTTCGAAAAGGACACAAGTCCAAAATTTTTAACTGTTAGTTTATAAATTTAAATTAAAAACTTCTGTATGATTTTTTTTTAAAATAAAGTTTACATAATATATACGTTCTGTATTTATCTACTTCTTTATTTAGTTTCTTTACCAGCGTAGACATTATTTTAATAAAAATCATGTTTTTTGTTGATTTTGAAAAGTTTTAATAAATGTACATGTGCCCTTTTCGAAATGACAGGTTCAATTATATACTTCGCAAAATTTATTTTTGATCAGCCTAAGTTGCGGTCAACTTTTGTGGATAACCGAGTCAAAGTTACGGCCCGCATAAAAATTATAATATTGTGGCATATTCTCGGTTAACTCTTTACAAACTCGTGGCTCGATAAGAGAGTTGCTAAATAGTCAAAGAAGACTACATCTGACACAATGGGCCCTAAATTTGATCCCACTGCCATTACCATCGGTTAGGAATTTAACTCTAGATTTTTTTAAATAATAAATTGAGTACCTTTTTTAAATATGTTGACCGTTTAAATATGATATTTCTTATTCAACAGTATACTTAAGAGTTATTGGTGGTGAGGTCGGTGCAACATCGTCTCTTGCTCCAAAAATCGGTCCACTTGGTCTGGTAGGTTTCTATTATGAATATGTCTATATGTTTAATTTTTTATCTCTCTAAACATACGAACATATATATATATATATATATATATATATATATATATATATATATATATATATGTAATATTACGTATGTATGTTTTTAAAACATACATACGTAATATTATTACGAATTTCTTTCTTAACAAAAACAAACTATACAGTGTAGATTCAAAATACATTTCTACTCCAAAAAATTATGTTATCTACATTAATTTGATTATTTTATGCATCCTGTAATTTTTTTTTAGGCGAGCTTAAGTTACCTTGTAGTACTTTTAACCAATAAAATTTTTAACCAATAAAATTTTAAAACAATATGTTTTAGATCACTATTCAGTTTTAAGAACATGGGTGTTAAATATAGTGTTTCTTTATATTAACATAGTGTAGCTTGTGTAACTGATTTACATAGCATTTTAATTCTTATTTATATCAATTTTATAACAATCTTTTAACTGTTCAAACCCTGTATTGGCCAAAAAAAAAAAAATAAGTAGCATAGATGCCTTCAAATATGATTAAATAAAAATATGCTTAGATATGTCAATGAGTATATGCTTTTCTTTACTTTTTACCTAACTTTATTATTTGCTAAATTAGAAAAAGTTCAGGTTAATTTAAAGCATTGTGGTATAAAATTCATACTATTATCATTGTAAAAGTTTAACATGGATTTAAAGTAATAACAATAATGCTCAGTCAGGACAAAAAATGGTTTAACCAATTTAAATGTTCAATAATGGTAAGAAGCATATTTAAAGCACTTTTTAATAAATTTCACTATTTGTTGTAGAATTAGTGTCAAATCTTTGATTTAAGTTCACATTGATATATGGCTTACCAAATTTTAATGATTGTAAGGAATTTTTATATTTTACTTTTTTCCTGCTGACTCGGTTCAAATATTTTCTACTCTCTAATTTGTATAATTTTTCTGCACAGTTTCTTAAATTGACTTGACCATCAATTTGGATAGACAAATCAGGATTTTCTGTTTGATCATGCAAAATTAAAACAACACCTGTAACTGTTTTAAATTATAAAATTAGTTAAATTATTTCAATCAAAATCTAATTATCATAGTTTTTCTGTATGCTTGTTTGTATGTCTGTTTGTATGTATGTCTGTTTATTCTGTATATTTTTTTTAAGCTTTCTAAATATGAGAAACAAAAGGTGTCATTTTTACTTAACCTAGCTATTATTTATCAAATAATCTTAATAGTTTTTTTTTTTTAACTATATTGTGTTAATATTTAGTCACCCAAAAAAGTTGGTGATGATATTGCCAAGGCAACTGGAGAGTGGAAGGGACTAAAGGTGACTGTAAAACTTGTCATTCAAAACAGAAATGCAACTATATCAGTTGTTCCTAGTGCAGCTTCCTTGATTATCAAGTATTTAAAAGAACCACCACGTGATCGCAAAAAAGTAAAACATGTAAAACACAATGGAGATATAACATTAGATAACATCTTTGATATTGCTCGTCAAATGAGAGAAAGGTCACTAGCACGTAAGTTTTCAGGAACTGTAAAAGAAATACTAGGAACTGCACAATCTGTAGGTTGTACTATTGATGGCAAATCACCTCATGGTATCATAGAAAGTATTCAGTCTGGAGAGATTGAATGTCCAGTAAGTTGTTCATTTTAAATGTGATATATCCTTTGTAAAATCCAACCCTACGTCCTTGGCGTACAAAGGGGTCAACGTAGATGGTACCATCCCTCCCAGTTCAAATTTAAAAGGAGTTGTTTTTTTAAAACAAAGTTCTTTACGAATTTTAAAAACTGGGGGTTGGTAGGTACCACCGGCTAACAGGGCTCTGGTTAATTTTATTATCTTATTACTTTAATTTGATTACATTTGTATTTGTTTAATATATAAATTGCTTCGAGACATTTTTTATTTTTAACTTTCGTTTTAGGAGGCATAAAAGATTCTTCATTCTTGAAATACACCCATTGATATACGTTTGCTGTTTTTGTTTTTATTTTTGATTATTGCATATAAACTTTTCCGGTGCTTACTGCTGCAGGTCTGATTCCTTTCCCTTTTGCGCGTTTATTTATTTAATTATGATGAAGAAATTTATTTTTTGTTTTCAAATTTAAAAACTATTAACAAAAAAAAAAGCAACACTTATTGTTGACATTTAATTAAACAAGTTGCACTAATAACGTAGTATTTCTTGGAATGTTGTGTTAATTCTATAGTTAATATTAGAAAGGGGTTAGCACTTCATACCGTTTCAAAAAGAAACATTTGTTATCTTAAAGCGAATGACACGATTTTATGTTATATCAGGGTGGCCAACCACCTCGAAAAAGTTAATTTCAAAGGGTGCATATTCATATGGAAAAAAATCAGTACCAATTCGTTTCCATACAGAAAAAAGCACCTCGCAAGGTTTTTTTATTTTGAAGTAAAAGCTGCATTAAAAGTAAAATATTGCGTAGAAAGTTTCAATTCAGCATTACTTGTGTTGATAAAAACTAGAGACTAATTAGTTAGTGTCATACCATAATATAGTTATTGAGATACGTATAGTAGGCTCTACTCACTGATCCCAAAATATAACTGGATAGCGGTTGATATTGTTTTTTCCGAAAAAGTTAAAGTCAAAATTGGCCTCCCGAGATAGCAGCAAATTAAGTTCTTAGCGGTGAAAGCGATATACATTCTATTTTACTTAATCTAAATGCAAAAGAAAATGATGAAGACATACATTTGTAAAAAACAAAAATAAATTTTATAATGATTAGAGATAAAAAAAAATTATTTTTTTAATTGAATTTATTATCAAATGGCATTGGTGAAATTTACAATTTTAGTTTTATGTATAATTTATGTGCCTTTTAGTTCTAACAAAGAATGCTTTAATTAAGAATAAGAAACCCAATGCTGTATGCTAGAAGGTTAATATTTGCTGCTGTTAACCATTCTTAACAGCATGGTAAACAGCAGCATTCATGTCTACCTACAATTGTATACTTTATATTTTTTAAGCAAGATACCAATTTGTACAAATGCTGCATGAACTATTAAGTGAGTGCTGTAATGTACACTAAAACTCAGAGGCCTCTTCTATCTTATACTTAAATGCTATTCTTGCATAAATTATATGATTAAAATATTCAATTTAGTGTCTATATTGGTAAAAAAAAACCGGGTCTGAATTATAGTTATTTATAATAACTTTTAAAACAAATAAAAAGTAAATAATCATTTCTTATAAAAAAAGTATATAAAAATACATTTGTTTGAAAAAAAATGTATTTATTAAATTTTTAATATACAAATACTCAAAACGCCTTATTGAAATATCTCTTTAATTAAAGTTATATATAATGTTTAACTGTTGTTAAGAATTATGTATATATGTTATTGTTAGCTGACTTTTAATATTATTAAACTGTATGTTGCAATTAAATAGATTTATATGTATGCCAATGAGTTTATTCGCATAATAGATTGATTACATGACAATAAATTCAAGAAACCTATTTGCTAATGGATACAAGTCAACATTGTGTGCATGTAACAAGACTCTTTGTTTTCCATTTCTTGACATGGCATATAATTATTTCATTAGTCTTAAAGAGATAAATTGGTACGTTAACAATCTTGTATAGTCTAAAAACTAATTTCATTAGATATTTGGTAGCAGTTAAAACTGTTTGAAATATATATATATATATACATGTTTAGTGATTTTAGTAAAGTACAACCAAATAAAAAACAAGGTACAAATAATTATATATACAAAATTTGTGATATCTATTTGAAAAACTTATTTATAATAGTTTATTTCGATAAGATATTCAGCTGCCTACCATGTAGTTGTGTTATCAACCTTCTAGCACACAGCATTGAGTAGTTAAGAACTAAAAGGTACATAAATTGTATAAAAAACAATATTAAACAATTAATTTATGGTAAAACTAAAATTAAAAGTAAGTAAATAAATGAAATACAAATAAAAAATAAATAAAATTATTTTGATTTTTCACATTTAAAGTTGTTTGGAAGTCGTGTCAATGAAAATCCTGGGAGTAATATTTGATGAACATCTTAATTGGAAAAGTCATATTACACTCGTTGAAAACAAAATTTCTAAAACAATAGGCATTATGTATAAAACAAAACACCTACTAAGTAAAAAATGCTTAAAAGATATATACTACTCTTTTATTCATAGTTACATTAGCTACTGTAACATTGCTTGTAACATTACTTGTTCATCAGCATTAAAGAAAATATATATAAAACAAAAACAAGCCAGTAGAGTTATATGTAATATGCATAAATGTGCCCACGCCAAACCGTTACTCCGTGAAATCAAAGCCTTAAACGTCTTTGAGTTAAATTTGTACCAAACCTATTATTTATCTTTAAATATCAAAACGACATGCTTCCTAAATTCTTTAACAATCATTTTTCAATTATTTCTCATAAATACTTAACGAGGTGCTCTATTCACAATTTTAACTTACCTAAGTCAACATAAAAAAAAAACAGATTACTCAATTTCATATAGAGGACCTCGTCTATGGAACAGACAAAATGAAAAGTATAACCTCAATACAATCTTTTAAAAATGTAGTTAAACAGAATTTGTTCGACTTAACAGATATAGACATACTTTTATATTTTTAGTTTTAAAATTTAATTTTTTTTTTACGATACTTATTTGTTTTTCTTACTGTTTTTTTTTTTTTTTTTGCTTTTTACTTTACTTTTAAAGTATTTTTTATCTTATTACAATAAAGTTTATATTTATTTGCTTTATATAATGAGTATTTGTATATAATGAGATAATGGCACAAAAAAAAAAAAAAAAAAAAAAATGTAAGTAATTATTATATATATTTTATTTCTATACTTTACTTTAGAAGTCTTATTATAGTATAGCTATTTTTAACTTGCTATATAATATTATCTTGCTATATAATAATTTCTTTACTTTATTTATTTATTTTAGCAAATTTTATTTTATTATTGTTATTTTAACTTGCTTTAGAAGGAAAGTACAGTGGAGAACAAAATTATTTGCTCTGGTAGTTCGTTCCAGTATTTTGCTATTCTATTATACAAATGATTATATCTTGGAAGACAGTTTGGAACATTCTCACGCCTTATTTTAGAATGGTGACCACGAAACATGGAGTTAATATATTTTTGTAGATATTTATCATTAACTATATCAAAACGATGTGTTAATTTAAAAATTTGGATTAAATCGCATCGAAGGCGTCGAAACTCAAGTGATGGTAGATTTAAACTTTTTAGCCTTTCGCAGTATTGAAAATGCCTCAAGCTGTAAGCCCATTTTGTTGCTTTGCGTTGAACAGATTCAACCAAAGCCATATCAGCTTTTAAGTAAGGAGCCCAAATGGACACTCCTTATTCAAGATGTGGTCTTATAAATACTTTATATAATTTGAGAGCCATTTTTTCATCAATGAAAGTGAATGTCTTTTTCAGCATACCAAGAATTTGTAAGGACTTAGAATAACTGTTTGAATATGAGCGCTCCACTTGATGTTAGATGTAAAAATGACTCCTAAATTACGTTCTTTAGTAGAGCTTCTTAGACATTGGTTGATTCCTTGGTTTTTTTGCAGAAAGTAATTGTAATGGGGGTTGATTCGACCGTAATGAATGACGCAGCATTTTGAGGTGTTTAACTTAAGTAACCAAGTGTTTGACCACTCGTATACCAAGCGTAGGCGATCCTGCAGATCAACAAAATTAGATTGCGATAAGGTTTTAGAAAAAAAGTTTAGTATCATTGGCAAATATATTAGAAGTTTCAGTGAGTTTTGCAAGATCATTTGTGTAGAGAATGAAGAGGAGCGGGCCGAGAACAGAACCTTGAGGAACACCACTAAGAACATCAACCCATGCAGAGCTGGTATTGTTAAATGTAACGCGTTGCTTTCTGCCCACTAAAAAGGATTTAATCCATTGTAGGAGTTTGCCGTTTGTTCCGAAAGATCTTAATTTTAACAAAAGTCTGTTGTGAGGTACAGAATCAAACGCTTTGGCAAAGTCAAGATAGATTACATCAATAACTTGGTGGGATGCTATGGAGGACGAAATGATATCAAAAGTTTCTAATAGGTTAGTTACGCATGATTCATGATAAAGGAAGCCATGTTGATTTGCAGAGAGCATTTTATTACCGTTTATGTGCTTTAAAATTTTGTTCTTTACAAGTTTTTCGAAGATTTTACAGGCAACAGATGTTAGTGAAATAGGTCTATAGTTTTCAGCAAGTAATTTATCTCCCTTTTTTTATAGATCGGACTAATATTTGCTAATTTCCATTGACTGGGTACTACTCCAGAATTAAAGGATTCATGAAAGATTTTTGTTAATGGAATTGCAAGGCTTTTGGCACATATCTTGAGTATTAAGGGATGCAGGCCGTCAAATCCGAAGGATTTATAAGGGTTTAGATTGGCAAGTTCCTGAATAATATCTGGGATAGAGAAATCCAGGTTTTCATTGTAAATGCATTCAGAATGAATACCACTTTTATTTAGCAAAGGAAAATTTTCAGAGCTTTCAAGTGTAAACATAGATTTAAATTGAGAGTTCAGATGATCAACTATATCAGGAAGAGCTTCAATAATTCTGCCAGAAGTATCTTTGAGAGAGCAAATTCGAACTTTAATTTTTAGTTGTTTGTTGATATATTTGTAAACGAGTTTTGGGTTGTTTTGGGATTTTGATATTATTTCTTTTTTATGTGCTTTTTTTGCTTTAAATATTTCAGCTTTTACTGAACGATTAAGTCGATTGTATTTATTTTAAGCTCACTATTCTCCCATTTGGTAGAGCAGTTAATATGCCAAGCGGATTTTTTTGCTCGGATCAGGTTTTTAATATGTGGGGTAATCCAAGGATCATACTTTTTTTTTGTTTTATTAATCTTGGGAATAAAGTATGTGCAAGCAGTGTGATAGTTAGAAATTAGTATATTGAACATTTGATCTGCAGTTTTATGCATAAATAAAAACTCCCAGTCGATTGATGCAATAAAGTTAGATATTGAATCGTAATCACCTTTTTTGTAATTAAACGATTGAGATTCACTTTCGGTGAACAGTTCTGAAACTAAGAATCTAAAGTGATACTAAAATGACCCTTAGTGTTATTACCTAGTATAGTACTAGGAGACAAGTTTAAAATAGAATTACTGTTGTAGGTAAATAACAAGTCCAACATATTATTTGAGGAACCATAATCAGTCTGGAAAGTAGGAAATGTGATATGTTGTGTAAAAAGGCTGTTTTGGAAAATATTCCAGAAATCATACTTGGTAAAATTGTTTGGGTTATAAGATATAATACCATCGTTAGACCACTTTATATTCGGGAGGTTAAAGTCACCGACAATCAAACAGTCATCGTAGGGCTTTTAAATTAAACTATGAGCTAATTTGAAGGATTCAGCGACATATTTTATTAAACTAGCATCATTTGGTCTGTATATACAACCGATAAGTATATGTTTGTTGTTAAATTTTACAGATACCCAGACTTGTTCGAGTAGATTTGTATAAAATTGGTTAACTTCATGAGAGTTAAATACATCTGCAATGTAGATAGCTACACCGCCACCTCGACGTCCGTCTTGACGATATCTTTAATATTTGGTACTGAGTCATTAAATGACTCAGTACCAAATATCCATCGATATTTGGTACTGAGTCATTTAATTTCTTTATATTATTTGTATATGTTTATATATATATTTTTTTATATGTGTCTTATATATAATATATGGATATATAATTTACTAATATTAGTTTGTGTCAGAGCGCAAAAATTTAGTTTAGTTTAGTTCAGAAAATTAAAAAACATAAAAACAGGTGCAACCGCAACTTTAAGCGAAGAAAAAAAAAAAAAAAAAAAAAAAACTTTTTAAAACTCTGTAAAGAATATAAGTGAACTAAAGCATAAATAAAATCTCAGTTATAACTATTTTTATAATAGTAATATATATATAAAGATATATATAATAAAATATAAGTATAGGTATATATAACAATTATATTTAATAGAGGTATGCGAAGTACAACAAAAACTGTATTATAGACACGAATAGTTAATATATTACTATCCAAAATTTGGATATAAGCTAATAAGATAAAGCAATAAGTAGAGAAAGAAGTAGTGGTTAGAAAAAGTTAGAAAAATAAGTAGAAAAAGAAAGATAAAGAATACGGAAAAAAAAAAAAAAATTCCAGAAAACTTACGCTCAAACAAAAACACGTCTTATCGGCTCAAAGCGAAAAAAGTGATACTTTATATAGTGAATATAATTTATTATATTTTATATATTATGGGTACTTTGTAAAAAATATATCACGCAAATTGTAGGGGCTTGACGACAAGACTTATGTCTTCTACTTGCTCCTGTCATTCTTTATATTTTGATTTATTTTATTAAACTTGGAAACGAGAACATTGTAAAATGCTTATATATGACGAAAATAAATAAATAAATAAAAAATATATATATAATAGTGGAACCTAATAGTTAACTATTAGGTTCTAGGTATAACACCAGCTTCTAGTGCGTTTTTTACTTATGTTAAATAAACTAATTTTTAATTATTTAACTAAAAATTGTTTTTTTAACATAAGTAAAGTATTTAATGTAAAACCGAAAATTATATTTGTATTTGAGACTTGTACATTTATTTTCATTTAAAAAAAAATATAAAAGTTCGTAACCAAATTTTCTCAATTTGTAATCAACTAAATACGCCGCCATCTTGGAAGGCCAAAACTGGCCGTATACGTTATCCAGTTATATTTTGAGATCAGTGGCTCTACTGAATCGTTTTTGCGTGTGGCCCGATTTTTTGTGTAATAAGTGCGTAACGTAACCTACATTTCAATTTACTTAACTCAAAAAGTGCGTTTAACCTTGCCCGCCATTATAAGACCTAGTGTCACTCATTGTTCCTGTGTGTACGCAAAAAGTGCTTAATCGCAATTTTTGCGTAGTTAAGCGAAACTTAAGCAAACAATGTTATGCGTAACTATTGGTTGTCGGTTAAAATGCGAACTGCGAACCGGTAAAATGCGAACTTTTTTGCGAACCAAAACATTATATTTTAAAGACCATTATTGTTATGATAAAAATAATAATAAAAAAACTCTCCAATTCTTAATTATCTATTCTAAAACTTTATTAAATTAAAAATTTTATTTTTTAACTGTAAAACATGGGCGAAGTGTTGCTACATCGATTATCTTATTGTCTGATTCGCAACGGAGTGTTGCTACATCGACTATCTTATAGCGCCTGACTTGCATTAGAGTACTGCTACATCGACAATCTTATAGCCTGACTGGCAACGGAGTGCTGCTAAATCGACTGAGGGTTTGGTTTGGGCAGGCAGTCTATCAAATAATTAAAAGAAAAAAAAATTTATATTGTATTTGTCTAGTTTCACTTAATTTCCTTTTATTTTTTTTAAATAATTTTTTCGCTTAAAAGTCTTTAAAAAATGCCGCTAAATGAGCTATTTAACGGAAATAAAACATTACATCATTAACAACCAATAGGACGATGGTTCGCAAAAAAGTTCGCATTTTTCGCAGTTTGCAGTCCCCAGTTCGCAGTTCGCATCTTAAATACTCTTTTAATAACAATCTCGTTACATGGCTTTCAAAGTTATATAACAGTATCTTTAATAATGGAGCTGTGCCAGAGTACTTATCAACTTCCATAATTATCCCAATAGTAAAATCCTATAAAAAATCTCTTAATAATTCAGATAACTATCGCGGTATTAGTATTACACCTATCTTGACAAAACTCTTTGAATATATTATCATGCAAGTATGTCCGGAAATATCAGACAGCCACTCTCATCAGCTTGGTTTCAAGCAAAATAGCTCCACCCTGCATGTAGAGTTCCTATTGAGTGAGACATTAAAACATTATAATAATAATAACTCGCCAGTTTAATAGGTCTGTAGTTTAGATGCAAATAAGGCTTTTGATAGCTGTAACTGGGATTTGCTGTTTGAGAAACTTTATTACAACAAAAACTTACCGCTATCAATAGTTCGCGCACTACAATCATTATACCGCTCGGGTATAGCTAATATATCATACCTTGGACATAAATCAAATAATTTCCGCTTGTCTCAAGGTGTGCGACAAGGATCCATTTTATCTCTATATTTATACAACATTTATACTGAAAGTATATTAAGTCAAATTGTTTCCGATTGTAAAGTTGGAACAACAGTAATGGGTTTATAGAATGGTATTATTGTTTATGCAGATGATATAATCCTGCGAAGTCCTACTCTTTCTGGGCTACAAGAGTTGATTAATAAAGTTCAAACGCAATGTCAAAACCCCTATATCAAATTAAACACAGAAAAAACCGAGTTCATTATCTCCGGTAAAAGTTTAGTTACAAAAAACATAATACAAATCAACGGTTTTTTCCTGAAACTCAATAATAAACTGAAACACCTCGAATTCTTATGGGAAAATCAAGGCCATGGACAAAATATAGCTACAATCCAATCAGCAAATATAAACGAAAGAATTATTCAATTTCAATCAATCTCCAGAGCTTTTATAAAATCTGGAATTCGTTTTTGTCAACCAGTAACTATAGTGCATTTGTTCAAATCTCTGGCTATACCAAACCTATCATATGGATTAGAAATTTGTGATTATAGCAATACTTTTCTTCATAAACTAGACGCTATTGGAAGATCAGTATTAAAATTTCTCTTTTTTATTTCAATATACAGCAAAAACTATCTGCATTCCTACTTTAAAATCGATGACGTATCTACTATCCTCGTTCAAAAAAAATTGAATCTGTTTATCAGATTACTGAGCAATCCGACTTGTCTTTCCTTGATTTTAACTCAAATATCTAATGTTAATAAGGAAAACTGCTTTATTTACGAAATAATGAAAATTTGCAACCGCCTGGAACTAAGCTTCATGCAGTGTTTGATTAAGGGGGAAAAAATCATTATCAAACGTCGTAACAATGACGTAGAAGATAATATAGCAGAAATTTTAAACCAGTCCATTGAGTTCTGGAACATCAGAGAGCAGAGAATGATATTCAAAAATTTAATGGAAGAAAGCATTTCCAAGAAGAATCTAAATTAGAATTTTAACTTATAGTATAAACTATTAGTTTTACGACCTCTGTATTTTTTACCTGTAATTTTGGGTGATGAAAAGAATAAATAAATAAAATAAAATTTTTTACCTAGTACCGTAACTATTTGGTATTCTCAACTTTTTGCAGTACTAGCGTAAAGTTACATTTGCCCACGAGTTACGCAAAATTTGAGGCAAATCTTTTAACTATTTTGTGTAAAGTATAACTAAATCTTTTATTAAAGGCAGGGCTTTTTAATTATTTTTGTTGTTGCTATATTTAAAAATATAACAAAAGCATTAAGGGGTTATTCAAATAATACGTTACATTCTTTAAAAGTTGGGGGAGGGGGTACTTGTCACCAAATATCTTGTGGGAGAGGGGGTGGTTACTAAATATCTTGTGGGAGAGAGGGTGGTTAGCCACAGTGTGACATAAAAATTTTATTATCATCCTGAACTTATATAAGATAACTATTTGGCTTCCTGTACGATGTCATCATTGAATGCCCATTGGTTTTATTTAATCATTCAAATAATTGTATACTACAGTTATTTTAATACTATTATTTTTGAATTTTTTATTATGATTATTTGAATAGTTAAAAAATCAATTACTTTTAGTCTTTGCTTTTTCCTTATTATTTCTTAACAGTGATGAACCTAATGTTTATTTTTGAGATACCCTTTTGATGTGGCGAGTTAAAAAACCGTAACCCTGCCGCGAACCTTATTTGTAAACATCACTTTTTTTTTTCTATTTTTAATATAAAAAGAAAAAGAAAAACAACTAGAAATTAATGTTTTAAGGCATTTTTTTGGCGTACATACTGGTCCTATGGTACCAAAAAAGGTCTGGGTTTACCCCTGCTTAGATCATGCAACTTGTCTAGCATAGCTTCAGGAAGTTAAAACAAAGTACTTTAGCTTAGCATAAAATTTCACATCCATGAAATATTTTATTTATCTTTTTTTTTTTTTTATCAAGCAATCATTTACAATTAAAGGTAATTTCCGATAAAATATTTAAAAATATTAAATACAAGTACATTTCATTATTTATAATAGTTACAAGACCGGAGAACGTGAAGAAGATAAAATCTTATCACCTTTACCTTTGATAATAAAAATTACCTTTGATAATAAAACCTTTGATAATAAAAATTGGAAATAAAAGTGTATTGTTAGAAAAAATCATGTAAAGAATCTTGATTGGCAATAAGTTCGATTATGTTCTTTTTAAATTTTTGAGAGGTATTGGCTTCTTTAAGTTTGCCCCTCAGGCTTGTAAAATGGCTCCATAGCATTGGGCCACGATATTTCAGATTGAAAACTTATGGTACCATTTTTGCACAAATAAAAACATTATTCTAATATTTGATAAATAGGGTAAAGTTAATTCTGTGAATCAGGAACATACAGTATAGAAAGGTTTGACTCATTGAGACAGAGCAAGTATTGATTAAATCGCAACAACAAGTATTGTAGTTTTCAAGACACCAAATACAATCTAATAGCTACAACCAGTGTGAACAAGACACCAAATACAATCTAATAGCTACAACCAGTGTGAACAAGACACCAAATACAATCTAATAGCTACAACCAGTGTGAACAAGACACCAAATACAATCTAATAGCTACAACCAGTGTGAACAAGACACGAAATACAATCTAATAGCTACAACCAGTGTGAACAAGACACCAAATACAATCTAATAGCTACAACCAGTGTGAACAAGACACCAAATACAATCTAATAGCTACAACCAGTGTGAACAATGTGCTGTCATCTCAAGAATTGTAATACTATTTTCAACAGCAACAGATAACAATTCTACTTAATTTTGAAAAGCACTCCATTTAGACTAACTGTTATATTATGGAATTTTTTTATGGAACTCCTGCTTTTTTGCAATAATGAACTACAACAATGAAATTTTATATAGAAATACAAGATAAAAGATCTACCAAAATAATTCAAACTATTACATTTATCAAGAAATTAGGCTCTGAAAAAAAAAGGTCTTTTTTTCTAATAATTTAAACTATCCATAGATATTATAATTTCTTGGTAATTGAAATAATTAACAACAGAATTAACAAATTTCTTGTGCTAAGGAAACAACTTTTTTTTTGTATAGCATTTCTCATTTTGATTTCGAATATACAACTCATTTTTCACTATCACGTCAAGTTACAAGTATTTGGGGTAAAGTCCCTAATATTGTCGAAAAAAAAGTTATTCAAAAGTGTCAGCCCTCAAAAGAAGCGTATTTTCATAGAGATTTTAGAAATCATAAATACTAAAGACCCCAAATACTA